GGAGCCTGCGCGGGGCTGCCGGGGGGGGGCGGGAGCGCGCGCCCGCGGGGCTGCCCCCGCCCCCGCGGTACCTCTGCCCGCCCCTCGCCGCTTTAAAGGAGGAAAGCAACTAAACTTCTATTGTACCGGACAGAGCGCGCCGCGCCGCCTTGGACCCTACGAGCCGCCGCACGCCGGGAAGGCGGCTTCTCTCCGCTGCTCCGTGTGGTTTTTTTTTTTTGAAGCCCTGGTGGGAGGAAGAGATCTACATTCTCCCGGCGTCTTGTCTTCTTTTTTTCCCTTTTCCGTCCTTTCCGGCGGTTCTTTTTTATTATTTTTTTTATTTTATATCTATCTGTATTATTTTTTTTCCTTGTTTTGTTGGTCCCCGCACCGCCCGCAATAATTGCCTCGCTACGTTTCGCAGCTGGCGCGTTGGAGAAGCCGGTGAGTTGCGGGGCTCTGCTTTTGCCATCACTCGATCCCCCCGCGGTTGCGGCGTTTGGACTGACACGGGCCGGTGACACCCGGGCTGCCGGCGGGGCTGCGCTCCGCGGACGTGGACACCGACGGTCCCTCCCGAGGGACGCTCTCCTCTGCCGGGGCACCGGCGTTCCCCATCCTTTTTGTTGCGCTCGGATTTTAATTTGATTTCATTTTTTTTGGGGGGGGGGGGGGAAGGGGGAAGCATTTGCTTCTCCCGCGTATGCGCGGGCAGGTTATGCTTATTGCACATACTGCTTATATGCATATATATATGCGTATGTACATGTATATACGACAAGATTTAGCGAAGTTTGCCAAGGTGCCTGCCCGCCGCCGTGCGCTGCCAGCACGCCCAGGTGGGTGGCTGGGGAGCAGCAGCCCGGCTCTCGGCTGGAAGCTGCCGGGCGCTCGCCGCTCTTTCCCGCCCGGTTCCCGGGAGGCGGAGGCTAGGGCTGCGGCCGCGGGAGGGAAGGGAAAAGGGAAGAGAAGAGAAGGGAGCTTCGTGCCGGAGCCGGCGGGAGCGTTGCCCCGTGTGAGCGAGCGAGCGCGGCCGCGGAGGGGCGGCGGGCGGGGAGCCGAGCCGAGCCGAGCCACGCAGGGCGGCCGAGCTGCGGGAGGGTGGTCCGGGAGCCGGCAGCCGACCCCTCGGTAGATACAGGTCGCGCCGCCCGCTTGTCCTGCTGAGCTTGGAAAGGGGGTGAAGGGAGGGGGTGCATTTACCTTTTTTTTTTTTTTCTCTTGTTATTATAATTTTTTTTTTCCTTCTTAATCGCTGAACGCGACTGCGCGTTTCCCCGCCGGCGCGGCGTGGGGAGCCCGGGGGGGGAGCGCTGGGCGCCGGG